TGCACAAGAGTGCTTTGCCTCACGTGCCATACGGAAGTATTTGCCACTGCTGAATTGCTCTCTCAGCAGTGACAGCAGCACACTTCTCTTGCATTTATTGTGGTGTTTCTTGCAGTTGGTCAGAATTGCTAAACCTCGTATTTGGCACTGCAAGCAGCATAGCTCAAGCAACAACTCTATGCTGCAGCTGTGTTTGCTCCCATCATGTTTCTGATAACCCCCCATTGGCTGTCAGGTAAGCTTGATGGCAAGGGGTACCGCAAGAAGGAGCCAGAACATCCTTGGGCCGCATCCATCGCCAGGCCCCTGCCATGGGGTGGGCCAGTGGCAGCCCCCCCACGGGAGGTGATCGCCAGGAGGAGTGACAGCAAGGCATGGGCTCCATCCACCTCAGCAGCCCGGGCAGAGTCACTTCGCAAGGAGGCTCTCTGCCCTGGTGGTGACACCTCGACGCCGATCTGGACTGGGAAAATGGAAACTGGTGGGAAAGTTTGTGGCATGTCCATCTGCTTTGGCTGCGCTTGTTACCAGCCAGGTTGACTTTGCAGCAATTTGGGTTCTTGTCCTTGCTGTTTTTCCTTGGAGTGGTAAGCAATATATTGGAAGAAAGTTGCGTTCGCTATGCTGCTTCATGTGCCAGTTTCAGGGACATCACTGAAATGATCGCAACTCCCTGATCTCCCTTCTGATGTGGTGATTGATTGATCAAAGCAAATTGCTGTTGCATTGGTGTGCTCGAAGTTCGGCGGCAAAGATACCGTTGTATCGAGCACCATGCAGCAATGCTGTGCTCATGCTCTTGTACAGCAACTGCGGGGGTTCTTGTGGCTTGATGTGGAAGCTGTGCGTCACCTGCCTCACAAATGAATTGCTGAATTGGCCTATTTGATGCCATCTCACAAGAAACTGGAAGACGATGCAAGAACCAAAGGGAAGATCGTATGAATTTGAAGGCACAATCTCAGAGAAGAAAGATATGGCAACTCATTCAGCTCTGGTGCTCATGTTACTGCGATACAAATCGCTTGTGGTATCAAAGCCACACATTGCTATGTATCCTTCCAGTTCCAAGATCTCTGAGTGCTGCTGAGGTAGCAAGTCGAATCTCATCCCTGAAGGGGGCCCATAGTACCCATCCGCTGAGTTAGCCGGTTGCTGTGAATGCGGCAGACCGTTCTGCCAGTGTCGCAACACCTGAGATTGCGGAAGCTGAGGAAGAAGAGGAAGATGAGTCCCACCTCCCAGCGTTCAAGCGCAAAACTACTGCATGGAAAGGTGCTGGGTGTTTGCACATGGTTGGAAGCAAGCTCTTTGTGCAGAGTGTCTCTGATTCATGTTGGTGAAGAGGTGGGCGTGCTGTCGATGTGAAGACCTGCTTGTTGATAGACATGACAACATTTGTCCCCAAGAGGACACCATGAAATCACTTGGATCTTTCCTCAAATTGCAGAGCATAGCAGCACGGTTTGCTGCATGCCAAAGGAAGAGATTGACCTTGTGGCTTCATGTTCCCTTTTGAGATCGGTCATCGATGCCTTGCAGAGGTCCAGGTTTGCTGCAGCTGTGAGTAAACTGCAATGTAGTGCAAGTACCTGAATTATGCACTGAGAGCTGTTAAGGATCTGTGGCGTCATTGATGCTGCTACAGCCCAGGAATTGTGACATTGGGACAAGTACTGTGGGCATGAACACTGCATGGCATTGCAGTGTGTATGCATAAGTGTTTGAATTGCCAACTCTTGGCTTTAGGCTCACAGTGGCTCCATGTCATTTCTGGACACTAACAGTTCATCAGGGTGTCCGATGGGAACAGCTCTGTTGAGTAAATGTTGCGATGCAATTGGCAACGACCAACGTTATCTGGTAGGCACATAGGCACAGTTGTGCTGTGTCTCCCCTGATGTCGTTGATAGGTCATTTGATGATCCTACAATATATGTGAATAGAGGTGATTGTCAATTTATCTTGAAGTGTTTTACCAAATTGACAAAATGGACTTACTGCAGGAGCCATGCTCTGTTTTGTTTCTGTAGCAGAAGTCAACATTGTTTGGAGTCTGTGTGTTGAAATTGCTTGGAGTGCCACCAGGCAAGCTTGAAGGCAAGGGGAGCAAGAAGAAGGTGGACCAGTCATGGGCAGCCTCCGTTGCCAGACCGCTGCCTTGGGGCGGGGCGGTTTCCCCCCTTCCCCCAGGGACAGCCGCAAGGCGAGCTGACACCAGGTCCTGGGCGCCCTCCACCTCAGCTTCCCGCGCAGAGGCACTGCGAAAGCATGCGGAGGCACCGGGCGGGAACACCTGGACGCCTGTCTGGACAGGGAGGATGGATATGGGTGAGAGGCGTCGGCAAGTCGCCCAAGGTCTGGAACATGCAAATGCTCCATGCTCTTGAGGTCAAGATGATGCAAGAGATAGCTGTCATGCAACACCTCACTTGTGCTACCAGGCACTGCCACAATGCATTCTGGAATTCTTACCGGGTTCAGAGTGAACGAGTTCCTCATCTTGCACATTGGGATAAGAGGTCTTTTGTCACACCTGATGGCTTAGATGACAGTATTCGGAACATCATCATGTTCCAATGGTCAGTGGCAACCTTGTGGTGTGCAACACCGTATATCCTGAGCCCACATCGTCAGAGACAGCAGAGTGTGCATTCCTTCCAGCTGGTTGTCATACACTTGATGAGAGGCTACCAAGATTATCTGGTTGCCCAGCGTGCTCAGTGTCCAACTGGCCAGGATCATCGTGGGGTACTTGATAACAGCAAATTACGTGAGCGAATTGTGTGTACATGTGCTTGCCAGATTGCTGGCCGGAACTTTGACAGTCTGAATTGCGTCCTGCATTCATTTGGAAACACATCAATTGAGAAAGCATGGGTGAGCTGGCCCAAAGAATAGGGTCCACTTGCTTGTGGTTTATGTAGTATGTGTTGAATGCTGATGAAAAACCCAACATTGCATGTGCCCCTTGGACAGTCCTAACAGTATGCCAAGATGTGCATTGGCATGCACATGTATCCCATGAAGTGTACCTTCTATCAAGTATGCAGTATCAAGAAATGGACATGGCTGAATTGTGAGTGCTGTGTTGTCACCACGCTGCCTGCAATATATGTTGGTAACGTGTTTGCTGGAGGCACTGCTGGACATGCCTTTCTCATGCGAAACGTGTATCGGCAGTCACAGATTTGCCTTCTTGACATGAAATAGTTGCCGGAATAAAGAAAAGCTGCCTCTTGTATTGCACTTGTAGAAGCACACTTAGACAGCCAGGTGACCCTGTCCTGGCAAAGAACTGAATCTTGTGGCACCTAACAAGGCAATGAAAGGCAATGTGAGTCCCAAAGGCTGTTCATGACTGCACTGAGACATAATCTCAAAGAAGAGAACAAGGCGGGCAAGAGAATTTGTTACATGATTTCACTCCACCCATGACAAGCTACATAAAGGTGCGGCTGATCTCAAAGAGAAGAGAATGATGCATGTATGTTTGGCATTGGACAGATGGACGTTCCAGCAGTGCAGGCACATCAGAGACTCCAGAGGAAGAAGATGAGTCCCACCTGCCTGCGTTCAAGCGCAAGACAACTGCATGGAAAGGTGCACACAACTTTGTGGCTTACACTGGTCTTTGGGTCGAGTTGTGTTGGATTCAGGCAGTAACAGCTGTTTCAGTCTTTTGATCAAAATTGGCACAAAGTGTCAGAGCACAACCCTCACACTGTCATGGCACTAGTATGCATAAATTTGTCCCAAGCAGCTGGACCAAATCACTTGTTCGTCTCGGCCCACACAATAGCAAATGCACCACTGGTGCAGCACGCTGACAGCACCATAGTACGGCTGCAGCAGCAGTGTCATATTGACATCCAGTTTAAAATTTCCATTTGGCTCCAGGTCCATTTGTAATTTCGTTATGTGTATATTTGGTTGGGCATGTGTAAATAGAGAAGGAAATATTTACTTACATCAAAGAAACCAAGAGTTCGCTGGTGCTGTCAACAGGGAAGTTGGATGGCAAGGGCCACCGTGCAAAAAGTGTGGAACGCCCATGGGCTCAATCTGTAGCCAGGCCCCTGCCATGGGGAGGGCCGGTGGCTCCCGCTCCACAAGAGGCGATTGCCAGGAGGAGGGACAACAAGGCCTGGGCGCCATCCACCTCAGCCACCCGTGCAGAAGCGCTGCGCAAACATGCTGAGGCCCCTGGGGGAGATACCTCAACAGCGATCTGGACAGGAAAGTTTGACACAGGTGTGTTGAGACTTTTGAAATATGGGACTGCCTGTTGTTGGGGATCCTTATCAGTATGTTAAGAAGTGAGGGTTGGCTTTGTTCGTATACTAGTATCTACCAGTGGTGTAGCATGTACGTGTTTTGAAGTAACTGAGTGTGACCGGGGTGTATTGGCAGAGCGCTGTGCACTGTGGATCCTGCAGAATGCTGCTACCACTGCATTTGCCTTTCATGTTGGATGTGTTGCGCAATGAAGCATGTCTGTCCAGTTTTTTGACCAGCATTGGTACCAGTTGCTGGTAGCTGGAGTGTGCCAGAAACTGAGCTGTTTGCGCCTTCCAATATTGAGTTATGAGCATATTAGCTGCCAGAGAGTTTGGCTTGGAGCTTATTTTTGCTATGCAACGAAGCGCCGGAAGGTCTGCAAAGGTTGCAGCTTGTGTCTACTCCATCCCAACTCAAATGGGTGGTGCTGGAGCAGAGCCACTGAATCAGTGCAAAGTTGCATGCTGGAATTGATAGATTTGCTACAAAGTGCTGGCAACCAATCCATGTTATTCATATCGCTGTGCTATCAATTTTTTAGAGGCTAGGTGGGATAAACCAATTAGTGTGACTGAGCAGCACCTTGACATAGGAGCACCGATATGCATCTGATGGTACATGCGATGTTTTTGTGTATTCCCAAATTCTACCCTCCCAGAAAATTGTATCACATTTGTGCCTGTTGCTCTGGTGGTGCCTGTGGCTACAAAATTGTGCCAATGGAAGTAGCTTGGCTGTCGGTTATAGGCAAGGAAGGGCGTGGCAGCAGCGTGCGTACCCCTGAGACCCCTGACGAGGCGCAGGAAGACGAGGAGGGGCAACTCCCCAGGTTCAAGAAGACCACGACAGCTTGGAAGGGTGAGCTCCGTCCACGGGGAATGGGCCACGCCACTTGTTCGCAGCCCTGGCACCGGCTCGGCTGTGCTGTCCAATGCTTCCCAATTGTTCTCTTCAGTTGGGCATAGGGCACCATCGTAGCGGAGCATTCACCACTAAGGCGGCCATGCGACGTCGTTGGTGTCCCTGATTGAATCGCTTCTGCAGGGGCCCAGGGCGTTGCCACCGTCCCACAAGCGCAGTTTGCCATTTGCTCCGCTTCTCTTGCTTCCTCCTCGGTTTGCTATCTACACCCGGGCGTCATCCGCGTGACGTCCCCGTATTTCCGTCCGCAGGCAAGCTAGACGGCAAGAGGCAGACGCCCGAGCCCCCGGCAAAACCTTGGGCGGCCTCTGTGGCCCGCCCGCTGCCCTGGGGCGGCGCAGTGGCCCCCCGGCCGCGGGACCCCGCCGCCGGCCGGTCCCACCCCCGCGCCTGGGCGCCCTCCACCTCGGTGGCGCGCGCCGACGAGCTGCGCAAGGAGCTCAAGTATCTGGACGTCATCCAGCAGCAGCGGCGGCGCAGCGCGGACGTCACTCCCACGCCGCCCACGCCGCCAGGCACGCCCCCGCTGGCGTCCCCGGCAGCGGCTGCCGTCGACTCAGCTGCGGGCACCGTGCCTGTGAAGCCGGAGGAGAGCGAAGAGCTGGCGAGAGAAAACCAGGTGAATGCTGTGCAGAGTGACGCACAACCGCCACGTGAGGACTCGGAGCCTGCGGTCGTCCAGGATTTGGGCGAGCAGAAGGCGAGGGGCGTGGACGTCAGGGAGTTTCCCGTCCAGGCCGACGACCTGGACGACGACCAGGAGTCATGCCGCTCCTCGGACGTCGCGCGGGCTGAGGCGCCGGAGGGGATGGTGTGCGGAGACGCGGACGCAGAGAGGGCGCTGTTCCTGGGGAAGGCGTCATATGCGGGCGTACTGGCCGCCGCGGAGGAGCTGGTGGCAGAGGCGAAGGTGGCGGTGAGCGCGGCGGAGAGGGACGTCGCGGACGTCGGGATGATCTGTGAGGGCGCGAGGGAGGAGCTGGGGGCGGTTGGGGGAGAAGGCGAGGCGGGCTCGGTGGCTGCGGGCAAGCAGGGCGCTGTGGGGACCTGCGAGGAGAAAGCTGGCGACAAGCAGGAGGAAGTCGTCTTGACTGAGGAGAAATACGACGGAGAGGAGGAAGTGGAGGCGGCAGCACAGTCGCCTGTCGTAATGCCTGAGGCAGTTGTTGACGCCGAAGTGCAGGAGCACGTGGCGCCGGTTGACGGCGAAGTGGCTGTGGAGGATGCTGTCCAGTCGCCGGCGCATGGGCAGAAGGCGCTGCCTGCCGAAGGGGAGGAGACGGCGCCAGGCGCAAACTGCACGTCAGCCAGCAGGCTGCCGAAGCCACCAACAGCACAGGGGAAGTCCTCTGGCATGGAGAGCCAGGACAAGGGCAGTAAGGCGCCACTGGCGGGCGCCTCCATTGTCGCCCCAAAGGCCGGCAACGTTGTAGTTTCTGAAAATGCCAATAGCGACGCAGCGCAGATGTGCGAAGAAGGTGCAGACCTGGAAGTGACGCATGCGCAAACTGCAGACGAGGAAGGGGAATCTGCAGTGTGCACGTCAGACGTCACTGTGGAGGAGATTGCTGATGCCGCCACCAAGGAGCAGGTGCCTGTTGAGACGCCAGACGTGCTTGCGGTCCAAGCCACCGGCGACGAGGCTGATGCCATGCACGTGCAGGAAGATCTCGGAGAAGATGGTCTGCAGGAAGATGGCGTTGCTGCAGAGGCTTCTCAAGCGTTTCCTGCTGAACGGGACGATGCAGAAGTCGAGGCTGCGAAGGTCCCTATGAAGAAGACGAACGTCTCGTCCATGTGGGAAGCAAAGCAAGCCGAGGCAGAGCGGGAGCAGGCACTTTCAAGCAGCTCGAAACCGCCCGTGAACATCTTCAGCCTTGAGCAGGCAGGAGGGCAGCGAGAAGAACAGAAGGATGAACTGTCGACGAGCAGCTCGAAATCGCCGGTCGACGAACCAGAGCCCGAGGGCGCTGAGGATGGAAGGACGGATGTGAAGATGATGTGTAAACTTTTTGCCCGCATGTCAGAGAACAACTAAGGACCGTGAGGCGGAGCAGGCGTCTTGTGGTGAACCACGAGGCCATGAACGATTGAATGCTGACTAACGAGGAGCTCCACAGCTTGGGCTGCCGTCCTTTGCTGAAAACTAGCAATGCTTCCTCTGCGCTGCGCAGCACTGCTTCGAGGTGCGTAGGGTGAGGAAAATTAGGATGCGAAGAAATTTATTTGGAGAAAATGCAGGTTCACGGTTCTGGTTGCAGGCTTGGTGGCCTGTTGAGGGGTTTATTAGCAGCTGCTGCAGTTGCAGGTGATGTCACTGCGTGTCAAGGACGAAACTTGATTGAGTTTGGGAAGGATGTATTCGATGGTTGGGTTTCTTCGACGTTGAGGAGTGCGACATGCAGGCGGCCGGATGACTCGCGTCGCTGCTCGTGTTCTTCTGTTGCGTGTTGAATTCGGTCAAGAGGGGAGCTAGGGGGGGCGCTGGCAGAGGGCTTTTGGGCAGCTGCCTGTTGTTGTGCTGGTCTGTGGGTTGGGAACTATGTACGCATTGGGTAGCTGCCCGTCACTTGTCGCCCATTGATGACACTGCCTTGTGCAGGTGTTCTCCGCCATCGGCAGACCACCCGAACTTTTATTTGGTGCATGGGCGAGTGACAGGGGCTGCCCTTTAGATAAAGGGCCTGAAGGTCCTAGGGGATTTGTGACGGTGTCGGGGAATGTTTGGGTGTGTGGTTCACATGGCGAACGTGCAAGGGAAGTGCGCTGCACGCATGCGCTTGTCCCGAATCACGCGACTTTGGGACCGGCGCCTGTGCGGGGCACACTAGCTGACGAGGTCTCTTCTGCAGGGCGCTCGGTGTGCTCAATCACCTCTCTCTGCCGGTGGAATGCAGCGGCGGTGACGTCACCCCGCAGCTGAGCTCATATCTTTTGAGTGGGTTCGCACTTCGAGCGCCCGCTGTTTGCGGACGCACTGCCACATGGGCCGTGTGCGAGAATGCCTAAATAAACAATTCAACGAGACTTTGGAAGGGAGCTCTCTCGAGTGGTGCTCCGTGTACCGGATTGGCTGCGGTTGACTGTATATATGTTGGTGTGACGATTGGGGCCGCTGGCTTGGTCTGGACGCTCATGGTGTTACTGCGCTGAGCTATGGCCTTGCCAGTGGGGTCTTCTTTTCCTCCCAGTGGGCATTGCCGTGTGAATTTATCTCGGGCAGCAGACGGAGGATCTGCTTGCCACAGACGCCTGCATCGGAATGCTTCTACCCCGCTGTGCCAGACAACTTCACCGCTCCAGAGCGGCGAGGTTGCCTTTGGGATCCTCCTTGCACCAACTCTCAACCAAAAAAGCAACTCGCACATTCAACAAACTTCTGATTTTCCCATGCGACATCTCCTTCCCTGCAGAGTCCCTAAAAGTCCACTTGATCCGCACAAAACCCTCTGGCTCGCATTTGGATGACACACACATCCGAGCTGGCGGCGGCATATAGGTTGCACGTTGCGCCATCCCACGTGCTCACCACGATCCCACACGCCAATTTCAAAAACCTGAAGGCAGACCAACGGGATGAGCGATCCACCAGTGCACGTGCACCACGAATATTCCCAGTTCCTTTTCCGTAGACGCAGAGCTGCAAATCATGTTTCGCGCCATCGCGCCACTTCTCCCATTGTGTCTCGGCGGAAATGAGGAAACAAGGTGACATGAACAAGCATTGCACCTGGAGTTAGGCTCGGCACATGTCTCACTTAGAGGTGCAAGGCCAATGGTTTGCCATTCTTCCTGTCATATGCTATAGAAGGGTTCCAGTTTCGTCACCCTCGGCGGGAGATGGCGCTGCGGTGGGCTCAGGATTTCGTGAATCCGTGAGTTTTATTTCTTGACGCAATGGATGGCTGGATTGCAGAGTCATCTTGGGCTGTCGTTGAACAAGGCATGGTTGCACTTGCTCAGCCGCTCCCCCCTGCCCCCTCGACATGTAAGATAGTTAAATTTTTGACTGCTGACATGCAGAAGTTTTTGATTGTGGATCAACCTGGACTTCGATCAACCGTGAATCCTTAAAATCCACGAGTGAGCAGCGAAGGCCGCGGCGCCTGCATTGCTGCGACAGTCGTCATCACCATTCATTTTACAAGGAACAAGGCAATTACTGAACAAGGCTGAGGCAGTCACTGACCCCGAACAGGCTTGGCCCTCCACCGCAGCGTCGGGCCAGACCCTCAGCCCCAACTCCTTACCTCCTCCGCCACCCGCGAAGATCCTCCCACCGCAACCCCTCTCCCCCCTGCCGGCGCCCTGGCACCCTCCCAAATGGCCGAGCCCAAGAAGGAGGCATTCCGGAAGTACCTGGAGACGGCGGGCGTGGTGGACACGCTGACTAAAGGTGAAAGTCGCCTTTTGTGGGGAACGGGCAACGCGGCTGATGGAGTCCACCTCGGGAAGGAGCCGGCGCAAAGAAGCCTAGCCGCGTGGCGCCACACCCCGGGGTCCACTGCGTCTGACAAGTTCCTGTGATCCGATCAGTGCTCGTCACTCTGTACGAGGAGCCCAGCAAGCCGCCAAACGCGACAGAGTGAGTGCAGTGGTGTTCTGACGTAGGCTCGTTATTTATTCATTTATTGTTTCTTATTGGGTTTCGATTTTGGTCTTGCATCGCGACGAAGCGTGGCCCTTGCGCTTCAAGGATTGTGGAGGGCGATGCTCTCCGCGGCTGCCATTACGGGCGAGCATTGGGACAGTGGGCGCAGGATTACCTCCCAGGCCGTTCAGAGCATCAGTGTGTGATTGGCAGTGCCGCGGTCCAGTAGCTGAATGATGCCAGCTGGCAGACCCAGTCGCGGGCCCTGCGGCAATTCAGTTCGTAGTCCCAGTGCTCTCACGCTGACTGAATTCATCCCCTATTTCTGATGTCTTTTTTTTTCATTTGTTCATTTCGTCATTTGGTACATTTGGTGAAATGACCTTGCCTGGGGTGAAACTTTACTTCCAGTGGTTGAGACAATGGCGGGAATGGCTGCCGCTTATTGGGAACCCGAAAATGGGGTAATGAGTATCATACATCGTATACGATCGCATGCATAGAAACAGCGCACACCCGGTTCTGCATTGGGGTCCCAATGCAGCAGTTTCGCACAACTGAGAGGCTAGGCAGCTCCACCGATTGGCGTACCATTGAATGGCATATTAACTGGCGCAATTCCGGACGGCCGTTCTAAGCTTGTGGCCGCTCCTTGTGGCATCTGCGGCCATTCCAAGCTTCGATATCCATGTGCTGTCCTCAGTTTCCTAAAATCTCAACTCGGAGCGCCGACGCCAGCAGAATATGACGCGGTTGTCTCTGAGAAGGAAGGCCTGCAAAAGGAGCTGGAGGAGGCGCGGCAGCAGATCGAGGAGCTGAAGGCGAAGGTCCGCACACAAAGCATGAGCAAATATTTACTGAGCGTTGCAAGCGCAGCCCAGGTCCATAGACGCTTATCATTCGGGGCCGTCCACACCACACGACTGGAATTAGGCACGTGATATTATGTATGAGAATGGCAACAAGGCAACCTTGCCTTGTATGGTGATCTCGCCACACGACAAACACCAATCGGAACACCCCACAATGTCACTGGCAACCAACTCTTCAATTCAACAGGAATGTTCTGGAAACCACAAGCTTAATCACCAGTTCAAGATTCCAGGCCTTTGAGTCCCCCAACACAATCAGATTGAAGCACCAGGATGCTCAGCGAACGGCCACTCCGCCTCCAGCTCGATTCCAGAATCAATGGGCGTTAAGCACCCAACACTTAGGTCGCTAGTTCAGTAATCCCTCCTGGTGATCTCAATTCCGCTCAGAATGATGCACAAATCCTCCAGAGGATTCCCAAGGTCTGTCCAACAATCCGCCTCAACGGTCCCCAATCCCAATTCCAGTTCATTCCCACCGATCCAGTACTTCCGGCTTGTTTTTGGGTCCCTATTGGGCCCCCGTGGTGCAAGAGCCTAAGGTTTGGGCCTGGCGCAAATGGTCTTTGGGATGCACACTTTTATAGCCCCCCCCTCTTTCCTCAGCTTCCAATACAGTTCCTCGGCCCTTGGAGTGCCCTCACAAGGTTCCTTGGGCGCTATCATCTCAATCATTGACCTCTGCACCATTACCACGGCCCTTGGAGAGCCTCCCACAAAGGCTTTGGCCCCCTTCGACATACCCTTGTTGCGATGGACGGCTCTCCAGGAGCTTTCATGCTCCTCCAAAGTCGTGTGGGCTGCGTGGATCATATGGGTGATGGTACCAATGTCCGGCTAGATCCCTATTACATCCGAGGCTCCCACCCAACACCCCTTTTGTCACCCCCCAAGTGCCCATTGGCGTCCAGAATCATATAGCTTTCTTGGGCTAGGCAGCAACTGTCCTCACACTCGCCAAACAATAATGCATTACATCACTTGTAATGCTGCGGTTGTAAAGTACCTACATTGCCCCCTTAATCGCCCTTGCCAAAATCACACCACGCCTTCACTTCCTGGCGGCCTGCAAGCGTGTGTGACATTGAAAGATGCCACATTCGCCTATGATGATGAAAATTATATGATTGATCAATAAAATAAATGAGTTTAATTAGCTAAATGACTTAAATGCTTATCTTTTGACATGTCATATCAAAATTCACCAGAATGACGCAAGCAATCCAATGAACATATTTTCACGGCCGAATCGTATCATCTAAATCATGTAAACTACCAAAACACTTGTCAAGTCATCTTAAACTTTTAATTTCACCTTTGTGCCGTCGTGCACATCCTGAGTTTGAATTCCCACTGGTAGCCATATGACTGATCTAATATTATGAATAATTCCCACTGGTAGCCATATGACTGATCTAATATTATGAATAAAGGTCCATATTGTTTATCATTTATTGGCGACTCGAACAGTGTCCATTCATCTGCACATCTGTAGAACAGGGCAAACGCTTCTCTTTTACCTCTTAGGCGATGCCCAAGTACTGCCAACTAATTAGCTTGAACTGATTAAACTCCAAACGAATTACGCAATGCCTAATCACTGCAACTACTTCTTGATGCTCCTTTGGCAAAGTAAACACATTATTGAATACATCACAGTACGGCTATTGCTCTGTTGTTTTAATTGATTTTCTGTGCTGACATTACGTTACCTTACTGTGCATTTATTCCATTACAGTACAGCACATTGCTCCACACATTGCCGAGCAGCGCTATGTCAGTACATCACCTGGCGCACTGTGAAGTGGCGCTGCACCGCACTGCCAGAATGGACGTGGTGTTGTTCCACTGTGACTTTGTTCCTCCTCCCCACCCTCAGGTGGCCGAACTGGAGAACCCGGAAGTCGCTGCCGCCGAGCAGGAGTGATGCACTGTTCGAGCGCCGTCGTGCGCAACGCCAGGGCCAACGCCCTTGTGGCTGGAGGTTGGGAAAGCAGCAAGCGTAGCAAGCAAGGACCCCGCCTGCATGCTTCGCAGATCGCATGCCACCGTGGCGCACATGCATGGACGACTTTGCTCAGAGTTCACAAAGGGGAGAGGGATGAAGGCAGGTGGGGGAGGCAGCAGGGACAGTGGGGTGAGCGCGGGGATGTAGGCGAGAGGGTTTCGGGCCAGAACACATTGGGACCTTTGTGAACGCACTGGGACGCGCCAGGGTCCTGGAAGTCAACATGGAGATGGGATTTCCCATCCTTCCCATCGTTTCAATGATGATTGGTGCTTCCACCTCCCGCCACTGTGACAAGTGCGTGTGGTGCATTCGGCTCGTGGAGACCCTTCCGTTTGGCAGCCACCCAACTCCACGAGAAGAATTTCCGTCCGGGAGGTGGCTCAAACGGTGGCTTCAACACAGCGCCCTGCTCGTGAATACCTGGGCTAGTACGTGGGGATTACTCAGGAAAGCTGGCGGTCATATCTGGACTTCGAAACGCCAACTCCTGCCACGCCAGCCAGCGCCATGTGTTGCAATTTTCTCGTTCAATATCGAATTCAGCGCTTTCAACATCTGAACACTCCAAACTCGGCGTTCAATCTCTCTGTATTTCCAGAACCCCCACAATCCCTACTTCAAGAGCAACTGGTTGTACAATGTCTCCACGCAAGCTCCAGACCCATCGCCCAACTGAAAAGTTGTCCAAACTTGCAGCCTGATGTTCATTTGCCACTGGAGCCAGTGGCAGCAATCCTTCATTGGTATGGAGTTCATCGCCATTCAGAGGCCAAGCACTGTTCCACGTAGAACGAACCTTTGCTATTTTAGCTCCATTGTAGGCACAATGACTGGTGATTTTGTGTTGCTTCATCAGAATCGTCATTGCTGGCTCGCCAAACGACTCAGTACAATTCTCTTCCCCTTGGGAGGTGAACGAGCTAAACTGGTGCTGTGTTTCTTGAAACCTAAGTGCCTGCCCTCCTTCTCCCCCACAATGGGATTAGACTCTGTGGTCTCGTGCTCATTCATTCTAGCACAGTACGAAACTGGTCTCAACGATGTGGGAAACCCGAGCAACTGCTCCCTTGTTTCTGCCCAATTTTAGAACAGCAGGCTGCTTCCCATTTACTTAGCACTGCTTTTGCTGAGGCGGTCAGGGGCACACAACACAGTGCACACCGTGCTCCTGGAGAAAATGCATCATCCGTGCACCTCCAAATCCGACGGGGAGCTGACAACCTCTCCCTGTAAACGGCAAGCTGCCATTTCAGCTCTCTGGCGGCGGCTCCATCTTCTCAAATTGAGGCTTCCTCGCCTTCAGAATGTTGTATGTGAGCCAGTAATGGAACAACATGATCCGGGCGTTGGCAACCACGGCCCTGCTGATGGGCATGGTGTCGTAAGATAGCCACTGCAGCACCTCGTCCCCGTCCTTCATCGCCCCCCGCCTCACCTTCGCGCCAGGCTGCTCCTCGAAAGGTGCGCCCTTGAACTCGTTGACGCACATGCCCTGGAAGCCCCACTGTATGAGGGAGGCCTTGGGGATCCACTTCAGCAGTGCTGAGACGTTCTCTGCATTGACATAATAGCCTCCAAAAACGATGAAGATGAGCATCATAGCGGGTCCCATGGCAAGCGCCGCGTCCTTGGTGGGGGCTATGCTCCCGATCGTTAGCCCAAACGCAGAGGACGCGAAGGATTCGAGAAGCACGATTCCAAAGAAGCGAGCGACCCGTTGGGGCGAGGGGTTGAGGCCTGTCATGGGGTACAGGACAGCTGAGAAGAGCACTGGGAAGGCTGCAGTGATGGGCAGCTCGGCGATGAGCTTGCCGAGGAAGTAGGGCAGCACACCATAGCTACGCTTGGCACGCTCCCGGGCGACCACCGTCTTTTCCGAGGGGAAGACGGAGATGGTCTTCATGAGGGAGGACATGGCGGTGTTGACAGCAGAGACCTGGAGCAGGCCCAGGCGATCCTGCACCGTTGCGGACGTTGCCTTCAGCCTGAAGTAGATGAAGCCAAAGACGATGGCTGAGTTGATGTTGATCATCGCCCTGGTGGCATTTGTGGCCTTGTCCCGCACTGCCTGCCTCCAGGAGCGACGGAACAGCAGTCGGAACTGGCGTAACCAGGTGGCCTGTGTGACCCCATTGCTGACCACCGCTTTCACGCCATTCTCCACAGTGGCGGGGGCAGTTGCTGGTGCAGCTATCTGCTTACCATTGTTGCTATTGACACCCTTCTCCCTCCATGCTGCCACCAGTTTGTTGATCCGCTCCTGGCTTTTCTCCCTGGATTCATCGGAGGATGTGTCCAGCGAGATCTGGTCAGCCAGGAACTCGGCAGGGTTGTAGTGCGCAGGGCATTGAAGCCCCATGGTAGCGAAGTGGTCGATCGCTTTCTCCGCCGGGCCCGAGTACACTGTCCGCCCCTCGCACAGGAGGATCAGGTCATCGAACATCGCAAAGATGCTACTGCGGGGCTGGTGGATGGAGCAGATGACAGTGTGGCCATCCCTGACGAGGTCCTTCAGGGTTTCCATGACCTTCTCTGCCTGGAAGGACAGACAGTCCACTTCATTGCATCTGCCACAATGGGGCTGATGTTGGTTGATGGCTGCTTGTAGACCCAAAATGGGCATACAGGTCGGAAATCTTCTTTGTGGTCAGCGCCCACCCACATAGCGAAGACATGCCACTTCGTTTTAGCGGTGCACATCCTTGCAATCTGCCTGACAACATCAACATGTGCCCATATCTTATCGTCCAAAAGCCAGAGTGACACCTGGACCCTCAAAGTGATGCACATATGTTGGAATCGAAAAGGAAGACACCATGTGCCACATAAGGACAGAACACCACCCTGGCAGGGGATGGAGGGCACACATAGGATCCACACCTGGAATGAGTCAAGTCCTGTGGTGGGCTCGTCCACAAAGATGAGGGAGGGGGAGTGAATGAGCTCACAGCCGATGCTAAGCCGCTTTTTTTCGCCATTGCTGCATCCGCAAAACAAGCAAAGGGTCAGTGCCGAAGTGGCAGATCATACACATTAACACTAATGGCAAAGTGCGCAGTTCTGGTCGAGGGATGAGAGCGCAGCATTCTTGCAGATTGTCTGTCTTTCTTCCTTGATCTGTCAAAGCTTCTTCCTTGCCCCTTCTGTCCATTCTCAGCCCCCTGTGGTGGTGCCCCTATCACCTTGCCACTTCAGCCCTTGGCAGTGGTTCTGGCTTTCTCTGCCTTGGCTGTTTGGGCTGCATCATAGATCTCTCCCTCTTGGCAAGATCTTGCATTGTATTATCCCTCTTCAGTTGACTGGATTAACTGCCTCATACCAGGGTTTCCCAATTGTGCTGCCCCACTGTTCTGTGTTCATGATCCAAGGAACCCTGGACCATCTGCACCCCCTCAGCAGTGTGGCAATGCGAACACTGCTCCCCACTTTCGCTTCAGTCCACAACCATTTCCACAAAGTAACCACAGCTTTGAATGACTGTATTCAGACACAGCTTAAATCACAGCAATTGGTAGCCCCTCCTTGAATAAAAGCACTTAGAGATTTTGCTACAGATCATCAACAATTGGCCTGGGTGGACAGAGAAAGCTTCATTGAGTGAACTGCATGGCTGAGCGGCCCATATGCAGACCCATGGCACAGCATCACTGCCACCATTCCAGAAGAATACAGAATCTGTACAAGTCTGGAGCTTCGCCATCACAATTACATTGTGATGCTTGTAGGCATGCAGAGGTGCATGACATGACCACTGTGTTTCACCACCACGAATCCCTTTGTGAGCAAGCAAGCCTGGGCATCAACAGAGACAAGACAGGCTCTTTGTTGGGTTGCACGCATCTATCCCACCTGATGCCCCTTGTCTTGGCATCGCCCACCCGAGTGTCTGTGCTGTTCGACAGCCCCAGCTTGGCGATCAGCCTCTCCACATACTCATCCTTGGCCGCATCAGCCATGGATGGCGGCAGCCGCAGGTGAGCCGCCATCGTCAGGATCTCCCTCACAGTCAGCTGTGAGAAAAAGAGATCATCCTGCTGCACATACGCCTGTGGCAGCCCGTCCAGCCCTGCAGCGCTGCCATTGACAGTCAGCCTGCCAGTGAACTTCATGCCCTTGGTCTTGGGCACCTGGTGACAAGGAATGCAACATGGTCTCATTCAGTATTCAAACAAGGCCCTTCATTACTTGAACAGGAGGCACTTCCGCCTTTCATGGTGTCGCCCCGCTTACTGGACATGGGAAAACATTGCCCAGGGTCGCTTGGCAGCCCACCACAGTCCATGTAAAGCATTTAGTTCCTGAATGTACCTCAAATGATTGCGTTGCATGTTATTCTTTGCGCTGCCAGATACTTTTGGAACATCTCGTACAGTATGGACAAGAGTCTCACACAATTGTGACTCATGAAGGGGGAGGCCTGGATGACTTGTGTTCCCTTCTTTCTGAACATCACACTTGTCAGACTTTGCAAAATCCTGACCGAACAGCGTCCTCCCGTCCCGTCCCTCCGCAAACAGCGCAGCACCTGTCTGATCCATCCAAATTCAGCAGAGGATAGGCCGCTGGACCCTTGACATCCCGACCGCCCCGATCCCCCCCACCAAGTGCCCGGAGCCACCATGACAACCCTAATCAGAAAACGCTGCCAACCAAAATCACAACTGCAGACCTGCCGAATCGCACTCCCGACCCCCCTCTCTCCCTCCTTCATACGCGTTCCCACCTGTCGCGCCAGCGCGTTCAGCAGCGACGTCTTGCCCGACCCCGACGGCCCCATGATGGCCAGCAGGCGCCCCGCCCTCGCCGACCCGCTCACGCCATCCAAGATCTTCTTCAGCGACCCGTCCTTCAGCGTCAGCGTCAGCCTCAGCTCCGCCCAGTCCAGATCCACTCTCCCCGGCGCAATCCCATCGGCCCGCCCGTCGCCGTCGGCCACGCCAGGGGCGCGCCGGCGCCGGATGGCGCCGATCGCCTTCAGCAGGAGGGACGCCGCGAGCAGCGGATTCTGGTACTGCGGCACGGCGATAGCTGCGCCGCCGAGGAGGACGTCCAGCATGACTGCCAGGGAGGCGCCCGGTGGAGTGTGTTGGGCGGGGGGTGGGAGTGGGGGCAGGGCTGGTTGGGCACCCGGGGTCTGCGCACATGCCATTTTTGGCCCCAGGATTCCTGGCCCCCAGGATCCGCATGAAGGGTTCAGCTGGCGTCACTGCGCTGCGTGGGAGGGATTGGTGACGCGTGCTGGGCGCGTGGCGACCCAGCGGAGGGCGATTGTATATCATTTTGCAGAGGGCAGGATCCGGAGCGAGCGGCTGGTTCTTTCTGAGGTTCCTTCTCACGTTCCTCTTCAGGTTGTTGAGGTTTTTGAGGTTTGTGCCTCGAGCCCCGACCCCAAGCCACCAGCTTGGACGACAGCTCTTGAGCAGCAAGGCTGCAAGCTTATTATTGCAGGTCCTTGAGGCCAGCGTTGAAGAAAATTTTAGGCAGGGTCAGGGGCGTTTCGGGCGTCTGGCTTATGTCGACTTTAGGGCAATTGTGTTATTCTTGGCACTGCCAGCCTGGACTGTGCCAGCCAGTTGTTGAACCCAGTACTCCCTTGCGGCAGTTCCAGCATTGGGTAATAGACAGTTCAATGAATAGTAACCAACCTTCAATTGGGTAGGGATGGAAATCTGGGGGATTTGGGTGATGACAACCCTACAAACCTCAGGCCTTTTACTGCTGCAATTTGACACGCAGTTGTGGTCCCCAGGGTCAGTTTTGGCGCTCTAGAAAGTGCGCACCCCAGCATTGCACTGCAGTTAAAACAGCAGTGACTTGTCACATTTTTGACAAAGTGCGCACCCCAGCATTGCACTGCAGTTAAAACAGCAGTGATTTGTCACATTTTTGACAAACGCAAGCCAGGAGCATGTGCAGCAACCTGGTCCTTATTGGCTGTAAGCGTTATGGGCTCATGACCTGTGCCTTGTGTTGCTGTCAGCACTGTTATGAAAACAGCAAGATATATCAGTACAGAATCTTCCTGTGGAGTGGAGAGAATGGCAATACAAGGCACCACCAGTAGAATTTTCTGCTCTTGGGTTTCCAATCATCTGCTCAGCGGACATCCATGTTCAGGAAGCTGGATGACCTGGCACTCCACCACGATCCCAGTAGGATTCATATGGAATGTAGGGGGGAGTCTATACTCCTCCACTACCCTTGCGGTGCCTAAATGGGCTCCCTGTCCCAGGACAGCCAGGTGGTGGGGTGCCCTTCGCAGAAGGATTCTGCACAAACAAATAAAGATGTCTGCAGCCCCTGTGCTGCCATCATGGAGCCTGAATGACTTTGCTGCAACAGGATTGCTTCCAGGTGTAATGTTACTCTTGCAGATTCATCCATTCCCAGCGAATTTGCCCTGAACCCCTGATCGCACAGCACAAGCATCCTCAAAATGCGCACCAGCACGAAACGATCAAGCCAGGGCCCAGTGCGCAGGCTGCAAATTGAGGAGGGCATACGTGAACTGACACTGGACATGCACACAGTGCCAGGGGTAACACACAATGGAGCACAGTAATACATAAACAGAACATGTCATGTACTTTCGTGTGATGATTGCTCATCATCGCTTGTAAGGCGCAAGGCACTGTTTGGTTCAAAGCGAACCTCCTTAAGCCAGAATTTCCCCTTGCTTACCAACTTGGCAGGCATCGTCGAAGTCTGAATTTGGCATATACAACTCTTGCACCTCGCCGCAGCACCACTGTGCCCCATGTCGGCTAATTGCCAGGCTGCCGCAGATCCACAAGGCACATACTTGCGAGATGTCCACGCTACTCGTCGTTGCTCTCGTTTCCAAGCACGCGAGGACGTCTCCGACTTAACTGCAAATAATCGCATAGAATGAAAAGAGAGCAATCGCGGGCCATCTTGTCCTCTGCGTTGCAATCCAACTTCGGTGTGCCGCAAAAAAATTGTGTCAAGCAGCCGCACGCCACTTCCCACCGAGGGAACTCGCACGCACCACCGGCTGCTCGACGACTCCGTGTTGCCCTCATTCGAAAACGCTGCCCCACGTGATGGGACAGCATTCGCTAGAAGGGGCTGGCAGTTGGGAAGCACCGCCCGGTTCAAACCACCGTATGTTCTTGCTCTTCGTGTATTGCTCTTCGTGTGGAAGCCGCCAAGCATTCCATTCTTTGCTGATTAACTCGCGCTGCTCAGGCGCCAGTCATAGGGTGTCCAGCCGATGCCACCCGCGGCACCTGGCCAATAACTAAGGCCGAGAAAGGCCACCTCACGTGCGAGATTGAGTTGTCTGTGCGATCGCGGGAACTCCCACCTTTGCATCCGCAGGCTTGGGGATCCCGCGAGCATTCGCAGGCGCGGGTCGCGGTCTTCGGTCTTTCGCTGCGACCAGGATCGCACAACGGTCTGCCGCACTCCCCCTGACCAGGGGACAGGAAAAAGCCGTCGTCAGACAAAGTTTCGGCCGCCGCTTCGGCTGCGGAGTTGCCAAGGCGGGAGGAGGCGGTAATTGGCGGCCGCATTGATGGTTGCCGCGCCTCTGGAACTTGATCTGTATGTCGTTTGCATTTATTTTTGCTACATTTGTAGCAATTCTTTTGTTGCTTACTTTGCATCCGAAGTATTTTTTGTCCGTTGGACCTGGCCCCCGCCGAAGCCGAAACCGGCGATGCATCAGTGGAGCAGCCCTTCACCCCTCCTCTGTCCTTCACAATATGTCTGCTAACGTGTCCCAAGGGGATCGAGGGTTGGGGTTGATTTTTCTTCAGTAGATTTTATTATGACGACCGTACCCCAGGGTTCCAATACTGTGAAACTGCCTGGAGCAGCGGATGTGCAGCAACCCCGATCTTTCCGGTTAGCTCCCCTTTCCCGAATATTTCCGCCAATGCCGCCAAAATGTGGACCCTGCCGATGCGCAACTGGCGCCAATTAATCTGCACGTTCTCCACCGACCCCAGATGCCCTGGTCTCCTACATGGTACCCCCAAGTGCATCCAAATCGGAGAGTATTGCCATTGGTTGGGGCTCTAGAGATTTCCCGCAATTTGAGCTCGCCAATATGCGCTTAGGAACAAGAGTAGGAATGGCTGAGTACTTGTACAATGCGCAAAGACTCTTTCAGAGAAAATGGTGCAAGGCTCAGTGTTTTATATTATTCATTGTAGTGTTTCAGCTGCAAAACTGCAGTTTGTATGAGTGTGGCAAAGAGTGAAGCGATATTATGACCATTACGTGTCGATCAGGTGGAAATTCTGCGCACAACAGCGAGGCAGTTTGATGAATTGATGTCAACTTGCGATTGAAATAACTCCCCATGCTGGTGGAAGCTGCACCAGAAAGGGATTAAATTATCACGTTTTGACTTCATTTAAAAGACAGCTGGCGCAGCTTGAAATGCCCGTGGGCAACGCCGCCTCATAATCCGATGAGAGTCCCCGCCAGTTCTGAGGTGGGACAGCCATTTCCATCCATTCCAATGTATGCATTTGAAGGGATGCATGTAAAGACCATCAATTAGGCAAAGGACAGCCTCTGGACATCGGGCTTCCGAACTTCTGCCACAAACCCCATAACTGGTAGCTAGTCTCCACGGGGGCCACCAGAGGACCCGGCCAGAATCGCGTGGCGATATTCATCCACATTCCTGGATTGTTTGGGACTTTCCATTTCCCTTCAACTTCATTCGAATGAAGTAGAAGGGAAATGCGAAGTGGAGGGGGGGAATCCCACCCCAACCCCCCAACCCCCCGAGAGACTCAGCTACTCTCGGGGTAAATTCCAGGGGGAGGTGGGGGGCCTTTTTGCCAGCACTGGGTGGTGTTGCCAAGGGCAGGCAGGTTTGCGGCAGCGACCCTTGAACGGTGACCGTAGGTTCGAGTCCACGGCGACGGTTTACAGCCGAGCAAAGGGACGATAGGAGTTCTGTCCCTTATATCCAGTCCGCCCATCAATACTTTTAATACAATTCGCAATGCCTCACCATCTCTTCATGCGTTCAGCTGTCAATAATTCTCAATCAGTTCCAGTTACAACAGTGTGCGTAACGAGGCTCCTCCCCTGTCGAAGAGTCCTTGGACTTTGCTGCGCCCCACACTGCCACCAAGCTGCGGTGGATTCACCTGGCTGGCGTCATCCGTCATGGTTATCCAGCAAGCGTTATCCACTGATTGGCATCCTGTAAACCGGCCAGTCGACGCCTGGGTACGACGTTGCGCATGGCATCATGACGTCATGCTCCTCCCACGGTTGTGACAGCCCATGCTCGACGCGACGGCCCCAGTCTTGCTGGTGCGCCTCTGCACATCCAGCGGGACTGACCATCCGCTGATCGGAGAGATTCTGACCCTCCCGCGCAGATGGACACAACGCGGGGCGCCACAACACACGTTGCCCAATGCAGGCGCCGGTTAACGCCACCACTGCAGTCCAACTCGTAAAGCACTGGGCGCCCTGCGGGCCGCATAAAACCCCTGCCGCATGAAAAGCCGTGCAACACCAGGCCGCGCGCCAAGCCGAGTCTCAAAGCCGCCGCCGCCCTCGCTGCTCCTGTACCCACTCTCATCGGATCGCCATGGCTTACGCGCGCTGCCTGCTGGCCGCGATCTTCGGCGTGGCGCTGCTTGCCGGCGACGCTGCAGGTGGGGCGATCCCGCACTGGTGCAGGATGTAACATGTCACGTGCTGGACGGCCGGTTTGCCCGCTTGGACTGTGTCTGTTGGTGTTTGCGCATTTGTGGTGTTTTATGTGCCGTCGGCAGCGGGCGACTCGAGATGCTCGCTCAGGGTTGCGGGGAGACTCCTCACGAACAAAACGCAGACATTGGCGGAGCAATAGGGGAGTCGCGCGTGGCTGTTTGTTGCGTTGCTGGAATGGCGTTGGAGTGGTATTGAAGGGGAGCACCACCGTTGGCAACTAAGCTACTGAATGTTTCTTTGTGGCCGGGCCACATTGGCTTCTGTTGACACAACGCAAACAGGATTCCAAAACTGTCGCTGGAAGCGAATATGAGCGGGGCGTGCATTGTGTTCCTGGCATGGTGTTGGAGTGCGATTGAAAGGGAAGCCCGTGCTGACAGCTCCACCGAGGCGATCTGTTGCTGCCCGGCCAACACTGTCGCTGGAAGAGAATTTGAC